GATGGCCTCGCAAAATGGCTGTATCATTTCCTTTCTATCAGATTAGAGCTGCCGGCAGATCAAAGGGCTCTCAGGAGCGGCAACCCTGATTATCATGGAATGAAAGCTGAAGACATGATAATGAAGGATTTCGGGAGCCAGGACAATTTTCAACGATACCTAAAGGAAAGATTCAGCAATTTAAAGAGAGGTCTTGGGGAACTGACCTCACTTGATGAAATGAACAAGCATATCAAACTGATGGAGACGGAGATTAGAAGACCACTTAACAATTTCTTGGAGTGCGTACATGCTCAACTCGATGTCTTTTTTCAGCTTACGTCGGATTAGTTGCGTGAAGAAAATCATCTGTGCAGAGTCGGCGGTATTGATGATTACCGAGCGAGTCTTCTCTCTGTACACCCTAGATGCACAATGGGAGGCGATGAAAGAATTGAACAGGCTCTTGTGAGTTGTACAGTACTTTCTCAATCTGATGCTCAATAAATCATTATTCCTTCCCCTAGTGCTTCATCCCATCCTTGGCTAAAACAACCCATCTACAGCCAAGATTCGGTCAGCGCGACGGAACACAGAAAGATGATTAAACATATATTGTACGTACATTTATGCTTTCTATCATGATAATATTCAGTGATTTCCAAGAAACGACTATGGCGCCTTCAAGAGCACAAACCATCCACAACCGAGCCCCCCTCAGGAAATAAGAATTACGCCAATGAGCCCGGACATCGACCAACCAGGTTACAGGGCACTCCCTCGCTCGGAAAGTGATTACCCTCCATCGACGATGCCTCGTACAACAGTAAATCGTTCGAAGAAGCAGGAGGTAACCAATCATACGCAAGCTACTCTCCGTCCCGGATCTACGCAGCCTGGAAGAACACCGCGGGAAGGTCGAATTACCACGCCAAGTGCAACTGACGTGCCCCGTACCATTGACCGACCAGGTACGGATTGGGAGAAACCAAGTCCACCCGACCGTGGCCGGAGGGAGGCAGTTTCTCGTCCAATGTCAACGCCGCCTAAGTTGTCGAGAGAACATACTGAAAGGATGGTCCCGTATGCTGTGCCGGAGAGGATTCACAGAGAAGAGAGGCGCTCCGAACAGTCTCCGCTATCCAGTCAAAATCATACTATGCCCTCAAACAAACCCGAAATTCCTACGAGGGCTCCTGCACAGCGGACACGAGCTCCACTCAAGCATGCATCTTCCCACATCCGAGGAGCTGCGCCTGCGGCTCCGATGGATGACGTCGAGACCATTGAGAGGAATATTACCGGGTAAGTAGGCACCGGTGCGACTTAATATTCCAGCATCAACTGATCGCTGTTACGCAGGCCAGTCTTTAATGTCCAGTATGGATCTTATCTGGAGGGGACGGGCCGATGTAATGACAGGTCCGATGAACGTCAACACCAGCCGCAAAACGTCGGGCTCCCGCCCGAGTCCTATGGCCACGGAAATGCCCCGAACAGGTGGGACCCGTAGATTTTTCTCATGGATAATCTATGAACTAAATGTGAATAGGGACGGTGACATGCGTATATTAGACGAACCTCATTTTCGGTTATCAGCCGCTGACCAAGTGCGAAACCATGTTCAAACTTCTGCCACAGGAGGTTTAGAGCCGTCAACAGGCGCCGAGCTATGGCCTAGTTCTAGGTAAGAACTGGGCGCTTCGGACAAGTATTCAGTACTAAGGGACATCAGTGATATACCAATACAACAGGGATTAGACGAACCTGTTATTACTGGGTCACCACCACCGCCATATGAGGCTGTTCTTCAGCAGTCAGAGGGGATCGAGTACGTTCTCTATTGCAAATGGCGCAAATATGCGGCTGACACCGATATTAGCAGCGCAGAGAATCTGCTCGGTAACAGTAACGAAAATCGTCCATCGTCGGCCTACGGAAGGAGGCGACAAATCACTGCACCCGAACCTCCTTGGGATGAAGAATTAGTCGCCGCATTCAGGAGCGACCCTCCTGGCATTGTGGGACACAAGTTCCTGCTTGACAGGATTACCGACGCTTGCGAGTACACAGTCCTAGACGAGACAGACGGACGATTTCTCATCAGGGCCAAATACAACGGCCAGCAGATGGTTCAGAAGCTCCGATATAGCGAACTCGACATCGGGTTGAATGCCGTAGTGCGAGATGTCCAAGCTTATTTCGACGCCAATCCCCACCGAGTTCGTGGGGCGAAGTTACGAGTCACAGGTAACGACGAGAAGTACAAAATTTCTGCGTTTTACTTGGAGGATGACATTCGGTGGTTCGAAATTACGCAGACATTGACGTACGGTGAGATGTTGAGGATGATCAGATTGAGTCACCGATGGGACATGAACCTTTGACCACGAATTACACATCCTTGCTTGTATTTACGCGCTTGTTTCGCTAAAGTCTATCATGAGATTATGTATATTTTTAAAATCGATTGCAGAACTCACCGGTATGGTTAGTCTATGCCAGCATTTCACTAGCATCTTTGAGTCGCAGTCACAGTTCGCTGATATTCACCGAACATTTCTCCTTTCAGGATAGATGATGATACGGATTTTTCGAACGTGCCATAGATTGATGATGCCTCGACACGATTTGCAGACCCGTTCCGTTTGTCGACGCCACCATCGAAGTATGTTGAAGAGAAGTCGGGCGCTCGGACTCCAAATATTAGTAAATAAACATACTCGGTCCGACCTCCGCCTTTTTTTCGCCATCGAGACCGTCTAAATCTCTCGGCGTCGTTCTCGTCTTCTTTCGTCATGTTTCGTGAATAGTTTTCAGTCTTGCCTCCTTTGATCTAGAGGTCTCTAGGCCTCTGCTAAACGGTGATAAATATCTACTAGCGTTCGTCTCTGGTTCTGTCTTCTCCTTCGCGAAGGGACTGTATACATATGACACATGTACCAACTCATCAGCGACATTTAATCAAGACTTGAACATCATCGCAAAATCTCGGACTTGATATCCAAATGCGGTTCGCACTTGCTCAGATCTTCCCAGTCCCACTCATTATCACAATTAATTTCTTCGACCGCCTCCCATTCGGTCTCGAGCTCTGCAGATCATAAATTTCTCCGTCAATAATTGAGAGCTGGAAATGACGCACCTTGATACAAATGAGCGCTTAAAAGTTCTGCTTCGGCGTCGAGGGCCAGGATACTGGCAAAGTTTTCCCAGTCTTCCTCCGAGTGAGTATCACCTGCACTGCCTGCTTCTGGATCCACTATTGATTCCGCCCATACCACCTCTGTCAGTACGCTATACCGATTCCCTCCGCTCCACCTTAAGTCACAAGTCTTGATGTCAAGGCTGTGAAAGCCGAAGTCTTGCATGTGGCGCAGTGATTTTGAGGGCATAACGCTGATGCTGGGAAAGCTCTGGGTGCTACGCGGACGATGTCAGCGCCCGTATATAGACAGGGTTGCTTGACTCACACGGCGTCATATTCACCGCAGCCCCTGAGTCACTCAACTGTATTTGAAGTTCTTACTTATCTTTTCATTACCGACACACATTGCCTCAGGGTCAGCGGTGAGTAATTGACCAGATTCCCGGGAGACGTTGAGCAGATCCTACACTGTTACATTGCATCTTGTATTCCACCATCAACATTTTTCGGAATAACAGCGCTGATAACTCAGTCGCGCCATCGTGTCATGCGGCGCCGCGATTGATACGGGTGCGGCATCTAAAAAGCAAGAGAAATATACGTCGGGAATCGGTCTTCTCTCCGATCAGAAGGTATCAGAAAGTGTACGACTAAGCATGTCGGTTCGCGATTGCCTATTTTACGATGAGTTCTTCAGACAAGTAAACACTAGACCGGAGGACCGAGGCAGACATCGTGTATGGAACAGATTGGGGCGTATCAGAGCGTTCTTTCTGGAGGTAATAAGAAACAATTCAAACGGAGTCATTTGACGACTCTCGGCTTGTGATTAGTGCTTGAATTTGATAACAAGCCAAGTAGTTTACGGCGTTTGTTGCAAGGATTGGAAGAAAGGCTCGAGAGGTATCGGAGCCTACCATGCGGCATTAGGCTAACGAGCACAATTATGAAAATAGCGCATAGAGCCTTCACACACTGTTATAAACTATGTAGGAAAATGATATTTCAAAGCCAGCTACGTCGCACGACCAGCGTCGACCGAGAAAGTCTAAGTACTTCGGAAAGTTCACCAAGTGTTGGACTTTCAGCTGATCCAGACATCGGAGTTGCGTGTGTAGGCCTCCACCCTCCAGTGTCCGCTGTCCCGAGTGACAAATCCAGAGAGCCAACGTCGATTTAAAAGGTGCCTGCTCAGTGCTCACTGTGCTAGCACTGCCTGGCTGCCTTAGCACCGATTGATTACCTCCCCTCACTGGCTGATGGGTTTTCCATTGAGGTAACTGTTGAGATCAGCGATAATTCTCCAGCCGCTCACCCGGATTTCAGCAGGGAACCCTCGCAAACAGGCGAGGGCCTTCGTCGTTCGTCTACCTATTTATCTACATGCCGTGTACACTGATAGAAGCAATATGATGTAACAAGTAAATCCGAGGAGGAGAGCAATACTGCATTGCTTAACAACCGAAGATCCCGACATTGACTGCGCTGTGATGCGCGACACTTGTCATCCCAACAGTAACATACACATCAAGTGACTGCCTAAATTCACTACAACTACATGTATATTATATACGGGGTACAGGAGTGAGTACAGAATAATTTCAGATGAATTACAGCACCCTTGATAAAGAAAATGTCTAAAAACGCGAACACGGACGTCCTGAAAAAGGAGTCGCAGTGTAAGTCGCGCGTAGGTCATGTGATTATGCACGTGATAGGCAAGTAACAGTAAATTACCGTATCAAAACACCCCCTTGGGGAGGAGTCAGTAAAAACGGGAAGTTAGACCTCCTAGAGGTTACGTTACTGTGCGTACGAACCCTACCGATCACTTGCTTTAACAATGAAAAAAAAAACTAACCTTTTGAGACTATTCCCGCTAGCCGGATTGAACGACTGACCTTGTCATAAGACCGATATGAGGTACGAGTGACACGCTCTACCACTGAGCTAAGAGGGACAACTATTAAGGTGACTTGATTAAATAGTTAATTCCTCGACCAAACTCATTTGACCTGCGTTACGTCCTTTTCCCCACATCGTTAGCAACATCCATGCGCATAACATAAGGACACTCGGCGAAGAAAAAAAACCCCATTTCTCCGGAAGGTTTCATTCCAATTGACCGGTCCGCACTAGCGTTTCATGTTGATGCCGGATTTTGAGTTTCGAACTCGCCAACCCTGTATATCTACATACATGGAACGGTCCGAAGGTTTAGCGGTCCCGAATATGGCAGCGCTATGTTAACGAGGCGGTGCGCTTCACGTAAGGCTTTCATTAATCTTTGGTGGACATCATACGTAGAACTTAGTCGTGTATCATTGCGCAGTTCATCTGGTTATGTACGTACCTGAAAATCACGTACCTGATCATGAATCGTACAGGTCAATGAAATGAAGCGTCTTTCACCAGAGTGGGAAACGGTACAGAAGGACTCCCAGCTCAATTGTAAAGTCGTCGTTACTAACTGGGGCTTGGTTAGCAAGGTTTTCTAAGCTCGTCATTGAATGGAGCGCTAGCTCACTGCTCGCTCAGTACCCGGTCAAATACTTAATCTTGATTGAAAAATGGAGATTCCAAATTTCGCATGGCAGGAGAACAGGGAAGTAAAAACATATTCCCGCTAGCCGACTTGAACGACTGACCTCGTCATATCGCATCAAAGCAATTCCATACACTAGTGACGCGCTCTACCAACTGAGCTAAGAGGGATACAATCATTTCCTATTGACTTACAACTTCAAAGTCCTCCCTTCGACTAGATGTCAAAACCTAGAACAACTGACAGAGCGAGCTTTCAAAATCACACGTTTCCGTGATTTGGGGACGTAGATATCAAGCCCCAAATCATCTTGGGACGGCGGGTGACATATACTGCTCCGGAATGTCATCCTCAGTAACACGTCCTGACCTAAGCACCCTGATCGAAGAGACTGAGGTTCAAGCTGAATGGGACCGGCGGGAGGTGAGGCCGTACCTGATCAGGCTCTATTAATGAAACAAAGATCCAAGGGGGTGGATGGAGGTAATTTTGCGTTGCGCGGAAGTAGAGGGACTTGTGATTCAACGTTCAACTTCGAGCAACCCACGCCGGCGATCTCCTCCTTTGCTGCGAAGCGTTGGTGAGAGGCAGGGTCAATGGAAGGTTGCATTTGGGGGGAAACCGCCGGCAATCGGGGGGGTGTGCGAAGGCGATGTTCGTAAATCGTGAGGGATTGGGGGTACGAAGCTTATGCGTTGATTGATGAGTGAAAACTGATAGACGTGGTATTGGATGGAGAACAAGGGATCTCGGGGCCGTTAATGGCTGTATGTAGGGCGTGGGATTGGTGCAGCGACTGGGTATGTTCCTGATCATCTCATAGAGGGTGGGCCTGATCTCGTGGTATGTCAAGCGCTGATCCGGGGAGGTAGAGCTTGCGACGGTGGTGTTTGTTTGTATGTCAAATTGTGGGGTGGCCAGGGCGAAGACACGTTGTTCGTGGCAATTGTCAAATTCTGGAGAGTTAATTTTGAGGCTAGGCGGCAGTAATGACGACTTGTCTCAGTTGGAATTGGAATTTGAGGAGGAATGAAGAGTTTCATTCGCGAGCTGACCTACAGAAAATTTCGTACTGTGGAACGGCGTTCCTGATCATCATATACACTGGTGGGTATATGTACATAAGAACTTACGGTGTTCATAAATCCAGGAGGAATTATTACGAGGCGACTGATCCGGAGGCTGAAGAGAATGTACGTTATAGTAATGTGATCCGGCGCGATGGGGATACGGAATCGGTGGAGAAAAGTGCGTAATGACAGAAAAGTCAATGAAAGGTGGATTGATACAGTTGATACATCAAAATTTCTGGTCCCAAAAAATGCCGTATGGACGTACAAGACCATAAATACACAGTTGCGGACTGAGCTTGCCGTCAAACGATAAAGATTAACGGGAGGGCGATTGGACGTGGCAGCCCAGGCCATGCAGTGGGGTTCTGATCCGGCGAGAGTAGCAGAAGGGCTCATGACTGCGCGTGTACCCAGACGCCCAGAAGAATGAAAATTCGAAAGCAGAGAAAGAAGAAAGAACCCTGGATGGGGGCATGTGGTACCTGATGATCTTGTTCCTGGATGGAGCATGGCTGAAATGGTCGGCAAGCAAGTGACATGACGGGTCGCCACGATGTGAAATGTGATTTTGAAACCTTGAACATTTTTCCATGCTAGCTGTCTTGAGGCAAGAGGCTGTTCTGCAGAGACAAGCCGCTGTACGGGGGAACTTATCGGGCAGCATGTGGGATACGGCGGTAGAGAGGAACGATCTCGGGATGGTGATTGGAGGAGATAGCATGGCAGGCCAGACAGGGCGCTCTGGACCATATTTGATCTTTTTTGATCTTTTTTGATTCCGAGTTGCCGATGTGAGCAACGTGACAGACTGTGACCCTATCTGCATGTATTTGGTTGCGACATGGTCGGATCCGAGATACTGGTAGGTTCAAGCCTTTCAGACTCCGCTGCGACAATCAATGTACCTTAAAATCGTTCCTTTCAACAGAGTACCCATGGTTCGTGGACGTACTCCCTCCCCTGATCAGCCCAAGCCGCATCCGTCCTCGTCTTCGTCGTCTGACACGATGGCCACCATGGTTGTCCCCCCGCCGTCTGCTGCAATAACCAAGCGCTACCGTCCCGCCCCCGCCAAGACCTTCCAGTGCAGGGGATATGGAGAGTGTCGCATGGTCTTCAGCAGATCAGAGCACCTCGCGAGGCATATCAGGTACCGTGCCTTCACGTCTCGTCTTAGCATGTACTCATCGCGTCGCCAGGAAGCACACAGGAGAGCGCCCTTTTACTTGCCACTGCGGGAAGCAATTTTCACGGCTGGACAACCTGCGTCAGCATGCACAGACGGTGCACTCGGACAAGCAGGAGGACAACGAGCGGATGATGCGGGATCTCACGACGCTGCACGCATCGATGGCGGCGGCGAACAAGTCCCGGGGGACTCGGCGGGTGCCGCCCAAGGTGCCGGACACGATTAGGCCTGGCACGAGCACTGGCTACGAAGGCGACACCTGGCACATATCGACGCCGACGTCGGCATCCAGTGACCACAGTGTTGCGCATCCGAATTCGGCCTCCGCGCCCTCTGCCGGACCAGGGAGTAATTCCTTTCGGTCCTTTCGTGACCCCCGGAACGGCCAGTCCTTTCGTGACCAACCATCCGTCGCCGGCGCGAACCAGCCCGCCCAGTCATCTAACCCAAACGCCATCCCCACCACACTCGGCTTCTCCTCCCGCCCCGGCACTGCCAACGGGCCCACCCTCCCGCCGCTCTCATCCCTCATCCCCCTCCCACCTCCCCCCCAGTCCTCCTCAGGCGGCCACCATTTATTTCGACGCCCCTCCACCGCCAACTCATCCTCATACCCTCCCTTCTTCCTTAGACCAGGCACAGCCCCAGCCACATCAACCCCCTATCAACAACTGGTATCTCCCTCAGCAGCAGCCCTCGCAGCAGCAGAATCTGAGTCTCCATTTTCCTTCCACGTCCCCGCTCAAGACGGAGCCGACTACCCCTCCAATCCCTCTCTCGGCACAGATGACACCGGCTCCCGACCACAGTCGCGACGACTCTCGGTCATGGAACTCTGTAATGATCAGCCAGCAGCAGCAGCAGTATTACCACCACTACGTGATGCAGCAGCCGCAGAGGGTTCCTCAGAGGTATATGGAGCCTGAGTATCCGACTTTTGGCGAGTACGAAGGATACCAGTCGTATCAGAATGGTGCAAATGGGGCTTCGGAGAATGGGAATGGCTTCCGTTCTCCGAACGCCGGCTTCGATGATTTTAGTGGTGAGAGCGGGTACACACAGCAGCAGCAGCAGCAGCAGCCACAACAACAGCCGCAGCAGCAGTGGTACACCAATGCGGGCACATATGGGTATTATGGTGACGGTGACCGCTGATACTTTTGTTTTTATTCTTTGGGCTTTCTCTCTTTTCGTCCTTGCTCTTATTCTCTCCTTCCAACCCCGCTCGTTGTTTCGTCTCTCCCCAAGTCAATTTAATGTTATATATATCGATATCCCGTTACTACTATGCTTTGTGTTTTAATCGTCGTTTTTCACTCCCCCTTCGTAAATACGCAGTGTGTGTACATATCCCCCTTCGTTTAGTTGATTGGTAGCTCTGCTTGTGTACATATTTAGTGTACGTAGGAGGGTTTTCAATGATATCCGAAAAGTGTCCCGAGGAGGGACCGTGTTGTGTCAATTATTTCAGTGCATGTTGAGCGGACAGCGTGGTATGGAAGTGTGATAGCCGGTGCCGAGTGGGCGAATACTTTAAATGCCAGAGGTACCGACGGGAGAGGGATTCTCAGGTTCAGGGCCGTGTCGTAGAGGGAGGGTACCTGATTAACGGCAGTATGAAGGTTTTGACGCCAGATGGTGATCTTGCACCGGTACTTGATGACTCCTATATATAGCTAGGTAAGTCCCTCTTAGCTCAGTTGGTAGAGCGCGTCACTAGTACGATGCTATGACGAGGTCAGTCGTTCAAATCGGCTAGTGGGAAGTCTTCTACCCAACAGGAAATGTGCGTTTTTACAGCTCTTGTATATGTATTATGTGCAGTGGCCACTGGCCACTGGCAATACAATCATTGACGGCGCACCTTCTTTTTCCCTTTGTGAAGGTATCCTTTAAATTTAATATACAAGTGATGGAGTTCTCGCCCATCAAACCACGGGGCTACCAGCGCGAACAATACGCTCATGAGACATCATGCATCATCAGAAAGTGAAGATGGGATTGCTATTAAAGAATAACAAGCAGAATGACTTGTTGGGAACAAAGATGATCATAAAGATGAAATTTTATCATATACATTTTGTGTCGAAACAGCAGAGACGGTTTGATACTAATCTTATAGAGTACGATACCACGATTGTCTCCCCAAAGCGGGAGGCTTTGAAGATAGCAAAGCTGAAAGAGCTGTATACGACAACTTCTTTTCCATCATCCTCTTCGGTAGAGAACCCTGAACGAGATGAAAAGTGGCGATAAAATTTAGAGAAGCCTCGGAACCGGAGAAGACTCCTTGGTCATTATGCGGTAAGGGAGTAGACCAGGCGAGTCCGAGTACTGAATCTGATGAGAAAGATGCGTGACAAAGGTTTTCTGCGTAGATCTGAGATGGGTTCGATATTAATATACCCTGGGGTTTGCGGCTGTCGGTGGAATACAAGGCGAGATTAATATGGGTCGTGGTCTTCCGATTTGTATTTTAATTTGGTCTCTGATCGGCGGCCCCGGACCGGCGGAATGGCAGTTGACTTCAAACCACAACGACGGGAAGGGCTTCGACACATTCAAACCTACTGCGGCTCCCTTGCGTTCTCCGCAATGTGTAAATCGTCTTGCCTTACTGAGAAGTGCGATTGTTACTCGTGTTGTTCGGACTCGGTGGCAGAATGCCCAGTCGCAGAGACTCTGTTTTTCTCTCTGTCTTTGTTCTCTTATTCATCTCTCTAGTCGATAGATATGGCGCAGGCGCTAATGAGAGGTCCATTATCTCTCATTCGATCTGCCTTCAGTATTCTATGTAGATTTTCTTCTCATGTTAACAAAGCATTCCTTCTAGGTCAACAAATCTTCGAATGTATCTACCCCCTTGAAATTCCGGGTAGTCATCGCAACAATTGAAGCGTACTGTTGT